CAGTTCAGATGGAGCCAAGGAATAACACATGTCACAGTAAGCATAGCAGCTTACAGCCCTGCTCCAGGGAAGGGCTCCTCCAGCAAAGTTGTTACAGTTTCACTCTGGTTCCTGGAGTATAACAACTTAGATTCAGAGTATAGCAACTCTTTGCTAGGGAAAGGTTTCCCCAGGAAAGTGTTATAGCCCTACTGGGCTGGATCCACTCACTCAGTTCTGGCTCCTGTGAAAAGTTGTTAATACTTCTCTCCTCTGCTCCATTCTGGCCAAGGAAGCTCTCACCCAAACCTCATTCAGGAGATTTATTGGGAAGGAAGAATCCAGGAGACTGGTTGCCTCTGCCAGGGTGATAGAGGACAGCTGGACAGCCACAGCTGAACAGTGACAGGGTTTATATAGGGCTTCTTAGGTGGGGAGTTTTTACCAGGGAGATTTCCAGAGTTGGGATTGGTCAGATTTCAATCCCTGAGCTCAGATTGGCTAGATCTTGTGCTCAGGGATTGGTTGGTTTTCTGCTCAAGTTTAGGGTCAGATTTGGCTCTGGTTTCAGAGCCAAAGTATGTTTTTTTCACTTTTTTTTTTTTTTTTTTTTTTTTTTTTTTGCTGTTTGGCTGTTTATGACCAAGGTGTATTTCTTTCACTGGCTTTGATTCCAGGGGCAAAGTGTGTTTCTTTGGCTGTGTTCAGGGTGTATTTCTTTGGCTGGCCCTTTTTTTTTACCTATACAATGTCTATATTTTATAACTATACACACACTTCATTTTTAAGACACTTTTCATTTTCTTTTTGCATATGTGTTTTATTTCACTGTCAGTAACTCTATTCATATGACAGAAAGGAGCACTATGTGGATACTGTCTTGCAAATTCTTGAATATCCTTTGCCTCTTTCCTATCCTTTAAGTTTGATGTATTTATTTTGAGACAGGGTATCTCTATGTATCTCTAGTTGGCTTGAAAATTGATATGGATCAGGTTGGCTTAAAAATGCTAGAAACCTACCCGCCTCTACCTCTGGAGTACTGAAATTAAAGGTGTACCTCCCCATGGCTGTTACAAACTTTTAATTTCTATTTCAATGGTCTGATTTCCTCATTTCTGTGGGGTTTTGTTGTTGTTGCTCTTTCTATATTCCCTTATCCATTATTCCTTATTAACGTTCTGATTTACTTTTATTTTTGTATAATGTTTTTCCTTTTTTATTATGTTTGGGTTTGTCTTGCCATTTTGAACCGGAGGCTCTGTGTTTCTCTTGTTTTTTCCCTTTCTTTATAGAGGCCTTTTCCTTATATCTTAGTTACTTTCCTATTGATGTCATAAGGTACCATAGCCAAGCTAACTTATGTAACGAGTACGGTTTTTCTGCCCGCCGCCTGGTCTTGTCCCGCCACCAAGCCAGCCCCAAATAATGCACAGAGACTCTGTATTTGATATTATACTGTTGGCCACGTACTAGTTTCTTATTGGCTAGCTCTATCTTAAGTAGTAACCCATTTCTGCTGATCTATGTATTTTCACATGGCCTTCTCTTACCGGGGAGGCGGCTGGCATCCAGCTCTCTCCAGACTCTCCATCTTGACTCCTCCTTACTACTTCCTATTTCCTCCTTGTCTCCTAGTCCCTCCTATCTTCCTTTCCTATTGGCCAACAGTGCTTTATTATTAACCAGTATGAGAAACATATACAGAATGACATCTCCCATCAAACTTATAGATGAATAAGTTTATTTGAAGCTTATGGTTCCAGGAGGTGAGTTCATGGCCACCATGGTGTGGAACATGGCAATAGACAGGGAGGCATGGCTCTGCAGTAGTAGCTGAGAGCTCAGATCTTGGACACATGCATGAAGCACAGAGCTGAGAATGGTGTGAGTCTTTTGAATCCTCAAAGCCCACCCTCAGTGACACAAAGCCACACAAACAGTTCTACCACCCGGGGACCAACTATTCAAATATATCACATATAAGGGCCATTCTCATTCAAACCACCACACCTTAACATATTTTAAATAAAGACAGATTATAAATCAGTGAGAAAAGTGAATATCCCAGTAGTCAAAAATTGTAGATACTTTAGTAAGAAGAAAAGGTCTGGCAAGATGTCTGAAATAGGTAAAGGTACTTGTCACTAACATCCTGAGTTCTGTTCCTGGAACTCACATAGCAGAAGGAAGGAACCAACTCTTGCAAGTTATCCTCTGACCTCCTGTACTGTTTGGTTTTGTGTGCCAACTTCACACAATCTAGAGTCATCAGAGAGGAAGGAGCCTCAGTAGAGGGAATACCTTCATAAGATTCAGCTGTAAGGCATTTTCTCATTTAATGACCAATAGGGGAGGGTCCAGCCCATTGTGGGTGGTGCCATTCCTGGAGCTGGTGGTCCTAGGTTCTATAGAAAAAAAGGTTGAGCAAACCATGTGAAGTAAGCCAGTAAGCAGCTCCCCTTTATGGCCTCTGAATCAGCTCCTGCCTCCAGGACACTGCTCTATTTGAGTTCCTGTCTTGACTTCCTATAGTGATGTGGAAGTGTAAGCCAAATAAACCCTTCCCTCCCCAACTTGCCTTTTGGTCATGGTGTTTCATCAGAGCAATAGGAACCCTAACTAGACACTCCTATACATGCCCCCAACAAATAAATGTTTAAAAAAAGGCAGAGTAAAGGAAAACATTAATATACTTTAGGTTCTAATTACTTATACATAAACATTTCTGCTCCTGTACCTTATCACACAGCAAGTTTGTTTAAAAACATTGTCTCTGTTAGGGCTTCTATTGCTATGAAGAGACACCATGACAATGGAAACTCTCATAAAAGAAAATGCTTAATTGGGACTGGCTTACAGTTATTATAGTCTGTTATTGTCATGGCAGGAAGCATGATGGCATGCTAGCAGACTTGGTGCTGGATCAGCAAGGAGAGTGACACTGGGCCTGGCTTGAGCATCTGAAGCCTCAAAGCCAACTCCCAATGACACAAGTTTTCTAGCAAGGCCACACCTACTCCAACAGAACCATACCTCCTAATAGAGACACTTCTGATGGGCCTATGGGGTCCATTTTCATTCAGACTACCACAACCACCAAGGCTGGTCTTGTGCAGAAGCAGGCAGGGGCTCTCACACACTTTTTTGATTCAGGAGGTGTGAGGGCATTGCAGCGGGCAGAGCACATTGAGGACTAGAGCTAAGGAGCAAAGCCCAGAGCATCCCACCTGCAACAGGTGTACCACAGTCTTGGAGAATTGATGGGCTGGCCTCTCATTCAGCAAATGCCTGCTTTAAGCTAGGAAGAATAGTCCTTCGGGACATTGGTTCTGAACCTGTGAGTCAGGAACCCTTTGGGGGGGTCAGGTGATCCTTTCACCAGGTTGTATATCAGATACCCTGCATATCAGATATTTATACAACAGTTCACAACAGCAGCAAAACTACAGTTATAAAGCAGCAACTAAATAATTTTGTGATTGGAGGTTACCACAACTATAACAAAGGTTTGCAGCATTAGGAAGGTTCAGCACCTCTGCTTTAGGCTCACTGACATTTTTGAGGCCTGGAAAACAAAACAAAACAAACAAAAATCAGACGAGATGTAGAAATTCAAGCTTATGATTTTGTTTAGAGGTATAGAGGTTTTGGTGTGTTTTTAACATGTCTGATGCCTCCACTGCTCAAGTTTGCTGCAGAAAAGGTGACCCCACTCCATAGTGGTGGATTGGAGACAGAATGAATACATCATGCCATGCATTTGCAGTGTTAGTTTAGTATCTCTACAAAAAGTTATCATTTGGACCTCAACAGACTATACATGATGCTGGGCACTCATGAAGGGGATAGAGCTCATTTTATTTTACACTGGGCCTGTTGGTTTCTGAGTCTCTGCATGGATGTGGGTGGGTGCGATTTGAGTGTGGTCATGAATGCTCTCCACTGAGTACTTTTATTTAGCAAAACTTAATGACTGGATTAAAAACAAAACTTTTTTTCATATGAGAGCAAATAAAGTTTAATCATTACTGCTTTTCAGATCTCTTCCCCACCCTCTCCCACACAACCAAAGCTCATTATAGGACCTTCCATTTAAACATAAAAGGCACAAACACACAACTAACAGTTTCCATATCCACAACAAACTCCAAGAAAATGATGGAAAGTATTTTTCACAAAAGTTGTAAACAATGAACACAAAAACAACAAGAACAGAAGGGACAACATCAGACAAAACCACTGCTGTTTTAGAGACTGCAAGCAAAATGTGAGCTACCTGAGGGAGAGAGCAGACTCAGAAGTGTAAGTGTTTCTACATGGACAACCAAGAAGTGAGATGGTGAGAGCCCTGGGGATGGGAGAAGGCAGCAGACATGCATTGTCAGTAAGAGGAGCCGTTCAAAGTCTGTATGCAGCACGGTTCATCCCTACTTTCATCTCTGTACGGAGGTCCACCAAGGGCAAGATGTTACTCTGAACCAAGAATCCAGACTCTGGGATGCCAGGAGCAGCGGAAGGAGAGAGTGATAAATGCTCTGGGTTGCACATACAGATAAAATCAAATTATCACAAATCACAGTGTGTCTGTCTGTAACGTTTTCCCATGGAGCCCTCTACCATCCCTGCATGCGTTTTGCATGTGGCCCATGACAGGTGCAGGGGCCCGCTGTAAGTGTGAAGCACGTGCCATCTAACCCCGCCCCCTCTCAGAGGCTCCTCCCCCTCGACAGAGTCACCTCTGCAGCCTCTACTCTTACTCTCACGAGACTTGGGTAAACCCAAGCTGCGAACACGGTGGGCCTAGACTGAGTTGGGCTAGGCCTTTGCAGTTTCTCTGTGTGTCTCAAGAGGATTCCCAGGCTCTTGACTTCGTCCTAGTCTGGATGGTTAAAAAAAAAAAAAAGGTGAAGCGGCTGGGGCGGCAGTAAGGGGGGTGTGGGGGGGGAACAAAGGACTTCCTGAAGGTGAGCTGGAAGTGGGCCTGAGAAGCAGGGAGGGACATTGGAAGGCCTGAAAGGATGGGGGAGAAGAAGGTCGAGCCACAGGACTTCCTCAAGAACTTCCAGGAGTACCTGAGCCAGCAGACCCACCAGGTGAACGCACTGGCCTGGGACCTGGCCGGGCAGGGAGGCCCCAGACTCCCTGGGGATGCTCTGGACGGGAACGTGGTGCTGATGCTGGACGACTTGGGAAGGACGCTGGACGGCAAGCTGCAGTGCCCGTACTGCGGCTATGCCAGCCAGAGGACGGAGCGGCTGCTGGAACATACGAGAATCCACACGGGCGAGAAGCCTCACAGGTGTCACCTGTGCCCCTTCGCCTCTGCCTACGAGCGCTACCTAGAAGCCCACTTGCGTTCCCATACCGGGGAGAAGCCCTACAAATGTGAATGGTGTGCCTACCGCTGCAACTACAGAAGCAACCTGACCCATCATCAAAGGCGCAGGCATAATCTGTCACCTCTGACCGGGCCCAGGGCCTCCCTAGGCAGCGTGAGAATGTGCAGAGGCCTGCAGAGTAAAAGCAACGCAAAGGATGGCAGACGAGGGGTGTTCATCTCCTTGAGTCAGCCTTCTGTGGTTGTTCAGAAGCCAGATTGCCTGAGTGAGCTTACCTACAAGATCCCAAACGTCCAGAGCGACTTCTATGATGGTGTGGATAAAACCTCAGCGTGTGGACTGCAGAGGGATCCCCAAGAACCCTTGCTCGTGGATGACCCTTTGAACCAGATGTCCTCTCTAGCGGGACACCTGTCCAGCTTGCCACCTGAAAACCAAAACCCTGCCCCAGCTGATGTAGACTCCAGCCCAGAAGAAAATCTTTACATGATCCAACAGACTTCCATGCAAGGGAGTGATCCTCAGAGCTCCCCACTAGTCCTCCAGCCTCCTCCACCATCATTCAGTCAGTGGGACTGCAGTCCATTTGCAGGGCCCAGCAGCCAGCCAAGTGGCCACACCAGCACCTCCATCCTTGGAAACAGCCAGCCAAACACTCCGGCCCCAGCCTTGCTGGTGGGGGACCCTCAGCTGCTTTACCACTGCCAGCATTGTGACACATACTTTGCAGACAATGTCCTTTACACTATTCACATGGGATGCCATGGGTATGACATCCCTTTCCAGTGTAACATATGTGGGTACAACTGTAAAAACAAGTATGATTTTGCCTGTCATTTTGCAAGAGGCCAACATAACTAGAACCAAGAACAACCAACATCATCTTTTCCCCAGTTTAGTCTTCTTGGGTGATGGTAGCTTGCTTCTGGTTACTCCTGGTAGGGCATTTTAAAATTTAAAGCTTATTATATATTATAATATATAAATTTGATGATAGGAATCGAAGCCCTCCTGCATTCACGCTCACTACTTTTTATAAAATTTGATCTGGTCAAGGTTATTTATATTATTTAGATGCTAGAATATTTACTTTTTTTTTTCCCTCTTTCAGTAAGCCATGTGAGAATTAAGTCCAATCATCATCTTACCAGGTTTTTAGTTAAATTTTCCCTATTTGTGGTCTTTAGGCTTTAAAGATTGTTTAAGCATATCTAATATTCACTGCATTTAGATATTATTTCTGTCATACTTAAGAATAGTAGAATAATTTTTCTTCGATAAATCTGATACACCATATTTCTGTGCTGAAAGTAACTTTGAAGTTGCCACTAGTTGGAAAATTGTCTAGTTCCTATACTTAAATTGATTAGTAGTTTCTTTTCAACTGCAAACAGTAAGGTTGTCACAGTACAGTAACTTTTTTTTCCTTCTTTCTACATAGGTAATATAAAACATTTTTTTGAAGTTATAAAAAATAGGTGAAAGTTCTGAAAAGAAATGAAACTCAGGATTAAGTTTCCTTTAGCCTAAGTTATATGTTTAATTTTTATAATACCTGTGGAGTTAATGTCAATTTTAAAATATCTTTAGAGTCAATGTCTAATTTAGATATGATGATAACCCATTGAGCTGCTTATGCTCCAAGTTTATTTTTTAAAGCCAGAGGAAAAGATAGCAGAGTATTTGTGAAATGTCAGTTTCTTAGTTAAATTCTTCATGGAGACTGGTGTTACCTGAGATTTGGTAACTGCAGTAAACTCTGTTTTTCCTATTCTTTCGATGACCAAAGGCCCTTCCAAGGCAGCGAGTGAGCGACCCACCTGTCCCTGAACTGTGAGCTTCAGGCCTTTAGGGCTGTGTAGATTAAGTTTTCATGGCTGCCATGATTGTGCAGCTCAGACATAGCAGCCACAAAAACTTCACACATGCCTCTGGGGAAAATCTGATTTTTCTACTTCCTGTGTTCATTACTGGGAACGAAGCATCTTCTTGAATGTTCTGAGCAGGTGCACAAAGCTGAGCTGACCTGCTTCCTGGACACTCCTGTTTTGGCCTCTAGAAATGCTCCTGGCAGAATCTGAAGGTACAGGAGAAGCTCCAGCCCTGTGGAAGTTCTTCATTCCACTGAGAGCCCACAGACTCTGTGTTAATCATTCATGTATGGCCCACCCCACCCCGACTGTGGAGGAGGCCACCTAGACATTATGTAGGCTCTCCTGTTTTGTAGCAGCCAAGAGCTTACTCCAGGGAGGCACCAGAGAGGAGATGAGCTGGTAGTGCTGCTTCATAGTCCACAGGCCACATTTACGTTGGCAGCCAACTATGGGTACAGCACAGCAGGTACCTGCTGCCCCAACACTTCCACCACCCATCACCACACGGGTTAGGAATTGGCTTCTTTCTGGCTTCTCTTCTGCCTACCTCACTGGGCTTCTGTGAGCTTTGACTTCCCTGTTGAATGGGCACATCTGTGCCCCTTTCATGACTTTTCTGACAGAAGCCTGACTCATTCAAGCTTGTTAGACTCCAGGGCTCCCATGAAGCCACCTAATGGGAATTTATATAATTACTGATTTCTTCAGAATTTTTTTTTCTGATTCACAGCACATGTTATGGGACTGAATGATGTCTCACCCAAATCCTTATGTAGAAATCCCTTGAGCTTATGAACTTGGCTGTATTTAGACGTAAAGCCTTAAGAGGAGCCAGGTCAAGTGAAGTCACATGGATGAGTTCTAATCTGGTATGATTGATATCCCTGTGAGAAGAGGAGATTGGAACACAGATCTCCACAGATGGTTAGCTAGGGAAGAAAGCCAAGAACAGAGTCCTGGGAAGGGACTAGACTTGCCTGCATTTTGTTCTCATGGTTCTAGTGCCCAGAACCATGAAGAAATGTATTCCTGAGTTAAGGCATCCTGGGCTATAGTAGTAAATTGCTAAGGCAGCCCAGCAAGTTAATATAGTACACCACTGTTCTGTTTTTGTTTGATTTTGTTTGTTTTTGAGTCAGGCTTTCACTATGTAGCCATAGCTGGCCTCACTGTGCAGACCAGCCTGCCCTGTAGCTCATAGAGATCCATTTGCCTTTGCCTTTCTACTACTGGGTTTAAAGTTATGTGCTAGTCTTTCTTTTCTTTCTTTCTTTCTTTCTTTCTTTCTTTCTTTCTTTCTTTCTTTCTTTCTTCCTTCCTTCCTCCCTTCCTTCCTTTCTTTCTTTCTTCTTCATTTCTTGTTTTTTCTTTCTTTCTTTTTGGAAGAAAAGTTCCTAAGGAGACAGATTCCTAGAGAAGGAAGCACATGTAATTCCAGGGCCCTAGGTTTTATAGGTTGGTGAAGTGTAAGAACAATTTCCTGGGTTTATCTAGTTCCTCATTTGCTAGATTTTGCTTATTAGTATGTCCTTGGGACTATATCATCTACTTTATATTCTCCTAAAGATTGCTACCTACTCAAAATATTTTGTAAGTTTCCCTTAGCTGCTTTAGTAAGTTATTACTAGAACCAGGCTATTGAGGGATATTGTGTTTCTTTACCCACATTTCCTCACTGTTGGTGCTTAGTACTGGTCAGTAAAATGAGGAAAATGACATTTAGGAAAATGAGCCACATTTAAAGCATCAAAGTCATTTATTTTTATACTTAAATTCACCTACCATTGTAAAAAAAAATAATTAAGTCAAAGAATCCATTTTCACTACCATTTATACTTCAGGGTAGAGGATTGATCCTGCTAGCTGTAATGGCATTTGCCTTTGCAGGCTAATTTCCTAGTCTTTCTACTCTGTGGGTTATCTGTGAGGCCCACTGCTCTTCCACTCAGGACTCCCTGCATTCTCTTCAACAGACTGTATGCTGATTCACAGACCTGCCCTGAGTTCACTGCTGACTGACTGCCCAGCCCCTGGGTGTGAAACTCTTCACTGAACATCCCCACCATATCCCTTTGAGTGCCTCAAGCTCCCCTTGCCCAGAGTATCCCATACCTGATACCCACTCCCTTTCTCCTCCCTCTGCCCACCCTTCTTTGACTTTTAAGACAAAGTCTTAAACTGTAGCCTGGGCTGACCAGGATCTGAGGGTAATCCTACCTCAGTCTCCAGTGTGCTGAATTGCATGCATGAGCCACCACATTCTGCCCATTACTGTCTCTTTGAGATGCCCACCCCAGCATATGGATCCTGTGCCCTGCTTCCTTCCATCTGACATCTTGCCACTCACCAAGGCTTATTCATTTTACCTCTTTCATATTGAATATTCAGAATCCTCAAATATGTAGTTTGTCTCCCTAGTGCTAAGACATGTAAATCAACAGGAAGCAGTGTGAAACATGACAAAGACAGCAGCACTCAACATAGTTGAAAGTCAGAGCAAGTAAACACCTTTATAGGCAATTGTCTGAAAAGTAAAGCTTGCACTGGGCAACTGGCAAAGTATACCAGCAATCTTTAAAAATGCATTTCTTTTAACTCAATAACCTATCTTTTCAAAATTTGCCCTAGTGAAGTAAGTTGAGAAATAGAGGTATTGACACTTTTGGTTGTTTACTAGGTTTTCATAAACATTAAAAGACCATAAATATCATCAATATCAAACAGCCTAAATGAGGGATTTCTTAATGCATTATGTTAAATTTGAAAGTTTTGGCACCATTAATAATTATGCAAGGTGTGCGTTTACCAACTCCAGTAAAACATACTTGTATTTTACACACAAAGAATGATTGTGAAACTGTGTAGATGGTGAACACACTTGATATAATGTGCATGTATGGGCAGGTCTCAACAGAAAGTGAAACAAGCTGGAAAATGCTGTGCAGGTTATTGGTGGTGGTGATTTCAGGAGGAGGTCTCATAGAGAATAAATCCCTTTTATGCATCTTCTGAATGGTTTCCTATCATTCTTGGTACTGAACCTAGGACCCTGTAAGAGCTGTGCTATTGCTGCACTGCAAAGCCACACACCAATACTAGAGATTTAAAAACATATATTTATTTTATGCACATGTATGTGTGCCTAGGTATATGTATGTGCACTGTGTTTGTTCAGAAGCTCCTGGAGGTCAGAAGAGGCATAGAGATCTATGGAACTGGAGTTACAGCTGTCATGTGGATGCTGGGGACTGATCCCAAGGCCTTGGCAAGAGCAGTTCTCTCTCTAACTGCTGAGTTGTCTCCACAGCCCCAATACTGGGATTTTTGCTTATCAAGATACAATTTCCCATTCCCAAAAGGCTTCAGGTATTCTGTAGACTGACTGCTTTCTTCTTTCTTGCTATACATGTACTGCCTGTTACAGAACAATCCACTCAAGCTCTAGGTGAACCTGGTCCTTCCAGGCAGGTCTTTAGGTTCCTCTCTGTGGCTTCCTGGGAATCTGCTTTTACACTAAAGCTAGGGAAGTGTGTTAGAGAGAGGCATCTGGCCCCTTTCCTGCCCAAAGCTCTTGTTTCCTGATCTGTCTCCATCTTGCTGCTCTTGTTAGTCTGCTCAGCAGCTTCCCTAGGTATGACTTCTCTCGATGTCTGACTCAGAGCTTCAGACAACCTCCCAGAGACTCTGCCCTTCTGACTCAGAGCTTCAGTCAACCTCCCAGAAACTCTGCCCTTAGCTTCAGCTGTTCACTTTTGTGAAGTCTCGGTGGCAGCCCTTCTGCTAAGCCTCTCTGGGCTCCTCCACCACTAGAACTCTTGAGCCCTTCCAAGCAACTACGAGAACAGTAACAGTTTATTCAAAATTGATTAAGAGGCAGGAAGGAGTCAGAGCCCCAGTGTCCCCTGACATGCACACCCCACTGTATTTCCTCCTAGTAGGCCCATCTTCCTGAAATTTACAGCATTTTCTAGTAGCACCACCAACAGGGTACCA